ACCTGTCTCTCAAACCGAGACAGGTCACAAGAAAACTAGTATTCCTTTGTTGGGGCTCCCTCCTTGGAGGCATCAGCTCAGTTGCTTCTGTGTTACTCTGCTGTGAATAAATTGCTTTATGGAATGAGACAGCTGAGACTCTGCTAAGGGAAACCTGGGGTCAAACCAGTAAGAAAACCTAGTCTGACCATGTGTGAATTGGGGTGTGTAGGGAGTCAAGTGGGACACCTGTTGGCTCACTGGAGCCACGTGCTGTGATGAGGCTCTGGTCCCAGCAGTGAAAGTCTCTGGCACTGTGAGTGTGACTGCTAGAGAGTCTCGTGAATGGTCAGACTGGGAAGTTTCTGTAAGACTGTGATACATCCGTTCAGAATTAGTTAGCTATTACTAATATCACTGATCACTAGCGCTGAAATGCTGCACAAACATGTTGAAGCACATCCTTTTGATATTAATTTCTTCTAGGACACTCAGATGTTCCCGATCACTAAAAAACAAATTATGGGAATTGCTCAGCTGCATGCTACTGAACGCTACGATCTCCTTGGAACAACCAGAACAGAACAGATTTCAGAAAAGAAATGACAAGCCTAGAGGGCTTATTCATGGTGAAAAAGATCACAGAGCAACACAGTGCTTTCTCAGACACTCAGATGACTCAAATTAACAGTAGAAACCACTCAGCACAAACATGAACTAAAATTGTTACAAAGTATAATAAAATCTACTGGGGAAAAAACATGGAAGAGAAAACATGATAGATAGATAGATAGATTGATACATACATACATACATACATACATAGATAAATACATAGACAGATAGATGCATGCCAAGTCAAAGAGATCTGTTACAGGTGGGGTTTTTGACATTTAGAAAAATTTTCAAAGGACAACATAATTAGATTAGTAAATACATTATGGAAGATCCTGCAACTGTTTTATCTCATAATGGTTAGAAAGACCAAATCATCAGCCTAACACATAGTCTTTAACTTTAAAAAAAATATATTTAGTTTCTATTTCTGAAAAAAATCTAAATCACAATAATTCTTTAAAATGGATCTTAAGAAATTTAAAAAATATGTTATTCCTTACCTATAAATGGTATGGGGAACATACACTTCTCTAATTGGGAATTCCAAAATCTCTTTGTGAGGACGATTACGGTTTTCTGGAAATGGCTTCACTGGCAGTAGTTCTGGTGTCAGACAATAACCAAGGTTTTCTGGAGCTGGGGAAATCTCCAGTTTAAGTGTTCCTTTAAAATAAAGTCAAAAAATCTCAGCAAAAACATAAAAAATGATCAATGTATAAGAAAGGAAAAATTAAATCAATATGTGAAGTTACGTGGCAACAGGGCAAAAATAAGAACTGGATCTTCAGCTGCATGAGAAAGAAAGCATAGGTGTAGAAACAGACAGGAAGTAGCCTACACACATCCCTTCACATCAGGACAACATATACCTCTTTATGTCTACCCTGTATTATTTCAAGAAATAGAAAGAAGGAATATTATGTGCTCCACTGATGTTCTAGTATCTTTCATACACCAATAACATAATTTTTGTCTGGGAGACAAATGAAAGATAAAAGAGCTGCTGACTAATACAGTTCTCTCCTGCTCCCTCCTCTCAGATTCTCCTCTGATTAATCTCTGCCAAAGTAGACACCACCCACCAGGAAATCCAGCCTTGCTGTGATGAGCAGTTAAACAGTTAATACTGATAACATTTACCAAAGTATAAACAGTCTTTAATTTTAACTTCTCTGTTGTGATAACTGAAAACCGTTTGTGGAGCTCAGACTTGTCACTTCTGGCAATCAGCTATAAAAAAACCCCAGCTTTGTACTCAGTTCATATTTCCTAAGGTTCCTCTACAACTGAGAAGAGCTTGAGCTGCAATTTATATGAAAGAAAAATTAAACTGCTCAGGTGTGTGACAATAGCCAAACATTATCTCTCCTTCTCTACTTTAATAACTAACAGTGACCCAAATACACAACTGAGACGAAATGTGTACACACTTTAATCTCTCCCTGTAAAATATGAGCCATTTCAAAGCACTGCAGGGAAATAACAGGGATCTTATAAATTTGCTTTAAAGCACTGTCTTCAAACAGTTTGAATAATAATAAAAGATATCCAGTACATACACTGTAAATTAGAGAGAAAAGCAACTAGTTTTAGAATATCAGGCTAAATATAAACCTCCATGCTCATTCACACAGAAAAAAAAATTCAAAAGCATCCAAGGTCAGGTAGACACTGGGGACTCAGGAAGTTCCACAATAGCATATATTACAGGCTTTAAACCCAATTAATTATATCTTTGGGTTGGAGTTTACAGAACAGTGTATGGGAGAAAATGACATAATCCTTTCCATCCAAAATTAATTATGTACCTGGTAAAGTCTTAGTTCTTCTTTGCAAGGAAGATGATCTTTTGAAATCAGCTAAAAATTTGAAGAGATCTTCATCACTGAGCCTGTCTCCTTCCTACCAGGAGAAAGGCAAAAATCAGTACCTTTATAACAATACTCCATAACACTGAGAAAAAGTTAGTGAGTGAACCATGTCCTTAAGGCAAGCAAAGCAAGTGGGTTACTGTCTACTTGACAGCAGTTATCCTCTGTCCCCACACAAATATCGTTGGTAACTTTTCCCAATCCAATTCACATTACCTACACGAAAAATGTCATAGGAAATTGGAAATAAGAGAGCATCCAGTACCTGTTTAAAGAAGGTGCTGAGGGTCAGAGAGATTGTTTTGAAGTTTGATGCTGGATAGCTGTCCTCTGAGCTGAAACCTCTCTCAGAAGGTCTTCTTGCCTGCAGCAGTGTTGCCTTCTTTTCACTAGTGGATCCTTTCCCTTCAAAGGGAAATTAAATGAAACATCACCTTGGTTTTTGCTGCTTCAGTACAAAGATCATCAGAATACACTAGAAATCCACAGCAACATCAGGGGACAGAGAGAGTACCTAAAACATACTTCTTTTATTTCAGACTAAGTGAAATGGTGGAATGTCAGAACACACCTAGTGAAGTGCCAATACTTCTGCTGCAGAACACAGGTTTATTCAAATTTTTAGTTCATGGGTTATAAAGCACATTGATCAAATGGTGTTGAAAAAGGGTCCTGCATACCCTAGAAACTAAGATGACAGGTAGTTGATTGTCCAGTATTGCTAATGAACTGCAAGTGGCAACAGGAGTTTTACTTCTACAAAGCCAGTGCTCAATAAAAATTGGGCCTAAAACATGAAAGAATACTTAGCAGGCATAAAAATAAACATGCAAAGATGAAACAGTGAGCACATTAAGTTGTAAATGTTTGCAGCACTGAAAAGGAAGGCTGAGAAGACATAACTTTGAATCTGTTCTTCACTCTTGATGCCAGAGTGAATGTGATTGTTTCCTATCCCCAGTCCTACTGAAGAATAATTTTGCATGACTTAGAAAAGTTAAGACAACTACCATTCAAACCTTCGGCCTCAGGTATTTCTCGTTCAAGTGTTGAAAGGTTGAAGAAATTAGTTAGGCTTATGGGAATCCAAGCAAATGGCATTCTGTATTTCCCCAACCGCTGACAAAAGGATTCAGCTTGTGCTTTCAGTTTTTCAATCTTTTCTTTTGTCTAAGACAAAGAAAATGCTGTTTAAAAAGCAGTTATAGTAATGCTGCAATAGATAAAAAAGTAAATAACTTATTTACAGCTCAGTAAATAATTTGCGTTGTTATCTCTCATATTTTATTACTACACCACTGTCAGAATCACAGCTATTTTGATTTGTACATTCACTTCTATTTCTTTTTAATGAGTTCATTTGCATTATAAAAATGGAGAACGATGATCTTTTTGTAAGCGACCCCCAAGTCCAGCATGAACAACCACCATGAAATGTTAGCAGGTTCTACTTCTTTCATCAGCAACAGAAAAAATATTCTGATAAAAGCAGTATTCTACAGGTGAAGCATGCTGGAAGTCCAGCACACACTGTCAGTCTGCTTCAGGATGGTAAATGACCATGAATTCCTTGAGCAGAGCTCATGTTACCTATGAATGACAGCACTGAACTGGCCAGCTACACACTACAACAGGCTGTCAAATCAGTAGCAGGTCTGAGGTACAAATATTCCTGCTAATTCTACATTTCAGTCATCTCCTTTGCTCACCCCTATCTGCTTCATGACTCAAGATTTTGTCAGTATTGATTTCCAAAGAGGTCAGAAATGAAAATGCACCTTGCCTTCTCATGACTTCTTTCTGTCAGTCACAGGACACCAAACTGCTTGCATCATGGATGTGCCAACTGGCTCCCCCCACAATGTTCTTCATATTCTGTCCTGTTCCCAAGGGTCTGCTCTTTCTCTGCTTTTTTTTCCCCTTTTCTTTTGTTCATTTGTGAGTTTTTGTTTTGTTTTGTTTTTCCCTTGTGCATGCATTTTTTCATCTAAACACTCTTTATACTTATTTACCTACCTTGCCAGTCTCACTTTCTTTAAGAACCATATAGGGTTCTGCACAGTCTGTGATTTCCCCTTGCTGAAGCACTTTTTCAATCTACAAAAAACAGTAAAATAAGACACTCACAAAGAAAAATCCCCACCCAAATAGTAACGTGTCGTTTCTCTAGCAGTATGAAACAGCCTGCATAAATGTGCAATATAGAATTTCTTCAACCTGTCTTTATGGAGTAACTAACTCTTAAACTCCTAGTTTCCCATTTGTTAGAACGCAGAAAACATATGTATGACAACACTGTCAATCAGTTAACACTGCATTTTCACTGATATCAGGAAAATTAACACATCCCAAATGAAGCAATTCAGGCTAGCTCAGTTTCAGAATTAAGCAAACAAAATGATGCAAAGTGCAACAAACCAAAGCCAAAAAAACCTCCACAGAAAGTAAATAAAATTTTTGAAAGTGGCTTATCTCACCATACTTTTACGAGACAGGAAATTCTAAGTACTTACTAAAACTAAAACACAGGTATCAACACAACTTCTTAGCTTGAGAGTGAGATATACCAGTAGACACCTGCACACATACTATTATAAACTATCAGAATTCATCTCTTCTTGAGGAAACCCATGTTTGTCAGCTCCATGAGCTCAGACAACAGGCACAGATGGGAACAGGAACAATGACGTTGAAGTAAAACTGTAGCATACCTTTATTACCAGGTAAATATCTGATGAGGGGTAAGTTACAGAAAATACTGCCGATCTTGCCTGAGTAGACAAGTCAATGGAAGATGTATGAGAACGCAAGAATCCTCTTAATGAATCAGGGTTGAGGTCACAATGAAAATTTTCTGAGATCTTGAAAAGAAAAAGGATTAAAATACATTGCAAAGAAAAAAATGCTTCAAATTTTATTTTAAAACGAGCCAAAAGCAGTAACTAGAACTACGAAATAAACAACTGCAAGCACGTGACTTCGACTGAACAAATAGAATCTTGGACCAGACTGCATGTATGAAAAGGTTTCAAGCGTTTTTTGCAAGATTTCCTAAATTATTACTCCAGAGATGAAAACCCAAGCCAACTGAACAAAAATATGCTATGCACACTTACCTTTTTTCTTTCCTTTATGTCGTACAGAGCTATGCATGCAAACAAAGGTTCAATCTCTATGTCAAACCTGTTAAGGAAAGACACACAAGACACTGATTGATACTGTACTCTCATGGCCCTGTATAATAAAAAAAAATGCAAGGGCTATATTTTGACTGTCACTTCTATTAGAAAATAAGGAGAGATACTTAGTACCAGACCTCACCTCTCTTAAAGTCTTGAGGAATTTCTTATTAATGCACTATATTAGATAATTTCAAGAGGAAAGAAGGGAAGTAAACTGCACAAGGTGTATTTTCTAAACTTGTCAGAAAGGTGCTGTCAGGTATCAGTTAAAACCAATCATATCTTTCTTGAATATTTTTTTCTGTTTATGAACTTGTGCTGGTTTGAACTTTGGCTGGTTTTGGAATGTGTTAATTTGCTTTGTAGTAAATACTATAGGGCTGTGCTTTGCATTTGTGCTGAACACAGTGTTGAGAACACAGTGATATTTTTGTGGCTGGGGAACGAGGACTACACAGAGACAAAAATTTTTTTTTCATACTGCCATGCTGGCAAGGAGGCTGCGGTGAATGGGAGGTTGGCAGAAGACACAGATGCGACAGGTGCGCCAAACTGGCAAAGGGATGTTCCATATCATATGACATCATGCTCAGTATATAAAGTGGGGGGAAGAAGGAGGAAGCAGAGGGACATTTGGAGTGGTGGAGTAACTGTTACATGTGATGGGGCCCTGCTCCCCTGGAGATGGCTGAACACCTCCCGCCTGTGGTAAGCAGTAAATTACTTACTTGTTTAGCTTTGCTTGCATGTGCAGCTTTTTCTTTCCATATTAAACTGTTTCTATCTCACTCCATGAGTTTTCTAATTTTCACCCTTCCAGTTCTCTCCCTGATCCCACTGGTGAAGTGAGCAAGTAGCTGTGTGGGATTTGGTTGCTGGCTGGGGTTAAACCACGACAAAATGCAGTAGTGTGTAGGAGACCAATCTGGTTTGTTGGAAACATGCATTTTGGGCTCGCTCCCCACTCCCTTTCACCCTTTTCTGACAAGTTAAAGACTTCTGTAAAGATGGATAGAAACAGTCTACTACACTAGAAGGAACAGGTGAACATGTGAATGCTTGCTGTACATGACACCTGCTGTGGTGCTGCAGTGTGGGCAGCCACACACTGCTGTGAATTGAGAAATAGTGCGCAAGGCTTGTGAAGGATACTTACTTCAGAGTTTGCAGCTTCACCAAAATCCTGTTGCCCAGATGCTCCTTTGGACGATCCGGTACGGGTCGTATCTCCACTGCATCTTCCTATCATCAAACAATAATTCTAGTCACTCAACTAAAACAACTGTAAATTTACATACTTGCATAAAAATTTTATGTAATGGTATCTGGGCTGCAGCTACAGACTAGCACCTTCCCCCACTCACTGGGCATTTAATCTCCCCAGATATGAAAGAATATAGATTTATATTTCTGTATATTTACATTCTTGACCACCATCTGGCATTTGCATGAAATATTTACACTTCTGCTCCCTAAAGCGAGCATTACAGTGAAAAGTAACAACCTGACATAGCTGTATTACTGGCACACGGCTTGACCCACACTGAGAGGTGTATAATGGAGCCTTAGGCAACACCACAAGTCTAAGTACAATCCCCTGGATGTACATTGAAGACAGCTGACAACAGTCCACAGTGATGAGCCTTCTTTCTGTTATTATCCAAGGGAGACACATATCCAGGCCACAAATCCCGTTTTCCAACTGTGGTGCAGCTTTAACCTTAAGCATGCTGGGACAGCCTGCTGGAGAAGACTAGTGGGACAGCCAGCCTCCTAGCTCACCTCATCCACAGAGGGGTAGAGGGCGAGGAGCTCGGGGTGCCTGTTGGTGCGCCGCGCCTCCTCGTTCTGCCTCTCAAAGTCCTCCGCACTGACGTGCCGCAGCAGGTTCTCCAGGCGGGGGTCCGGCTGCAGGCTGCGTAGCTCAAAGTCAGAGGAGGTGAGGGTTGTCCTTGAGGCCTCCTCAGGCAACACATGGACATGTTGAGGCCCCACCTGTTAGAAAAATCAAAAATGTCAAGCTGTGGCTGGGGCACCATGGGTGTCATAGAACATCCCTTGGTGGTCTGGCGGGGAGGATCTTAACACCACCTCTGCCATGAAGCCTAACGGCAAGTGTGGTGCTCCACTTGATGCCATTACAGAGAACTCAGGATGCTTTGCTTGAGTTCTACTCAAATACAGTAGCTTCTGCTGTATTTGATTGCTTTTCCGAAAGTGAAGAAAACATACCTGGAAATTTGCATCGCCAGAATCCAATGTTTCTGATTCAAATGTTTGTTTTTGAAGCGTCTTGTGAAAATCTTTTCGGGATCCCTTGTTTTTCAGGCTACAAGTATCTGAATTCCCTTGGTTTCTTTCATGAAGATGCCCAAGGAAGTCAGGATAGTGTGAGGTGGAGTCAAGGGAAAACAAAACAGAAAAGGCAAATTGAAAACAAATAAAGGAACTGGAAACGCTGTTATGCAAAAGAGCAGCATAGCACAACTTTTATGCAAAAACGTGACATTTCACAATGGTAACTTGTTTTATTGCACCACTGCAATGCTATCATGTATATTAAGTACAGTTTTAAAAGGAAGAAAACTCATTCAGATGGCTTTTGCATAGACTGTAAGCCTGAGACAGCAGCAAAACCCGACCTAGGGACAAATTCAGCTCTGATGTCCTCATCAGACACAGTGATTATTTCAGAGGCCTGGATCAGGATCGTTTATATCTTGGCTGACTCTTTGCTTCTGCTTCTTTGTTCTCTTGCTTCAACATCAAGCAGCTTACCACTCTTATCCTGGACCTAGCTTGCGTCCCAAGTTAATGATATGCAACAATCTACCTTCCAAACAATGCCTGTTTTTGAAGAGGGCTACTGCTATGGCACAATGTAACCCGCTCTGCTGGCAACTTTGGAAAATTTTGCAGCAAGTTTCCAACTTCAAGTTACATTTTTCAGGCAAATGGAAAAAACTGCAGGTACCCTGAAAAAAAAAGATACTGGACACATCCAGAGCTGTTTCTCTTACTTTAGTATGCAATTTGCAAAATACTGTGATGGCCTTTTTGCAATCAGCCTCCTTAGTTACAGCATCCTGCTTCATTCATTTTCCTTTCTGTGACACTCCAAAGCAATGGCTAAACATCTGAGTACTTTCACAAAGAAGCCATGATAAGCAACTATTGATCAGGGAGACACCCTTTGTATCATATTTTGGGAGGAACTGAATTATATGGTCTGATGTGTTTTAAGTTTAGTTGCTTGCATTTTAATCATCTACCAGTTCACTGCAATGAAAACTAAAGTCATAAAAGAGACAATCCCAGCTCTCCTTGGATGTGGTCTTGTTTTGGAACCACCTTAATTATCCAGAATGGAAAACAGAAATTTTGCATGACTTTAAGATATCTAAGTATCCAAATGAGGTTGTGTAGATTACTTTTTTCCCTATCTCTGTGGCAAACAAATGATTAATAGAGAAATTTATGTACCCGAGATCACAGTTTCCCTGGGGTGTACAAGTTACATTAGAGATGCCTTTCCCCTAAAGTACTCATGGAAAATTTATTTATATTGTTTATTTATTTTGAAAAGCACGGTAGCAACTAAAACTCTGGTGGCAAAGCATGTTTTTAGCACACATGTCAATTTAACAACCACACACTGAATTTAGAGATGAGGAAAAGGAACAAAGTACAACTGAAAGGAGAACAAGGCACAGGAACAAGCTTCCCATTCAGCCTTTGGCAAAACCACACAGGCTCTTCAGCAGCATCCAACCCCTCTGCTATGTAACTCCCTGCCCTGAGGCACGAGGACTACCTCTGCTCATGACACCCACTGAAGGCTCCTCAACCTCCTGTTCTGAACCTTCACATCCACACATGGATGAAAGTCATTTACACACTCCTCTCACCCATAGTTCACCAGACCATATGTTCAGCAACCTGTCTATGAATCTTTGTCTCCCATGTAGCCAACAACAGTTTTTCCAGCCTTTCTCAAAACAATGGAAAACCTTCTATAACAACGTGAGGTGACCTTATCACCCTCTACAACTCCCTGAAAGGAGGTTGTAGTCAGGTGGGGGTTGGCCTCTTCTCCCAGGCAACCAGCAGTAGGACAAGAGGGCACAGACTCAAGCTCTGCCAGGGGAGGTTTAGTTTGGATGTTAGGAGAGATTGTTTACAGAGAGAGTAGTCAGGCATTGGAATGGGCTGCCCAGGGAGGTGGTGGATTCACCAGCTCTGGAGGTTTTCAAGATGAGATTAGATGTAGCACTTAGTGCCACGGTCTAGTAACGACGGTAGGGTTGGACTCGATGATCTTTGAGGTCTCTTCCAACCTGGTTGATTCTATGATTCTGTGATACTTTTTTCTCACTTCTCTCTTGATATCTTTTCTTCCTCTCACATCTGTCTTGAGAATAGTCTCTAAGCATAATGTAAGACTCCCAATTACAATCTATTACTGGTTTATGTGACACTGCAGCATATTTGACAGTCTTGTTATTTGCAATTTTTAATAACTTGCTTCCTTTGCTAGCCACAGCCATCAAAGCTCAGCTGTCTGGCAGAGTCCTTCATCATGTTTAGTGCAGACTCAACTGCTCAATAAATATGAATGAAATAGTAAAACACACAACAAATCTTTCCATATATGTGTATTTCTACAGTTCTAATCACATTTCTACCAGCATGCCTAAGTGCAAAAATAGCTATATTTTATTTTTCACCTCACCTACTGTACTGCTTGATCCCTTCACATGTGCACAGACAAAGCTGTATGCTGGCTCTTTTTACAGCGTGATCAGAACAACAATATGTGAAAGAAGTACTGCCAGTGATCTGAGCAGCACAGGTGAAGAGCCCACAAAACCCACTAGCTTATTTTCAGTGACTCACTGTGGAACAATTCTGAGAAGTCAATCCATTTCATCAGCACCACTGGAGGAAGTCTCTTAACCTTCAGCAGCTGCTCTGCTGAGAAGCACAAGCTGCACAGTTAAGCAGTGCAATCACCAGGAGTCAACCCATAATGCACCAACTGCTGATGTACATCAAGCCAGAAAAACAGAGAGTAGCAAGGGTGGGTGAAGGGGCACAACGCAACGGCAACAAATGTGCCAGCACTGTACAGTCAGCTGCTATTACTGCTTGTCAAGAACAGAGAACAAGTGCAGGAGGGGATGAACAGGAAGTGGTACAGAAAAGCAGAGCTCAAAATCCTCTTTCTGAAGAACAGGATGGGGTGATGGGGAGGGAGGCGAGATATCTGCATTCCCCAGACTCCCCAGTAGTCTGGGGACAGACACCCCTGCACAGAAAGCACTGACTGAGAGTTCCCTTCACATTTAACATATGAACTGGAATAGAATGAAATTAAATTAAAATATAATCAACTAAACTAAAGGAAATTAAGACACTTACAATGACTATAGGCCCAATTCTGTGTGTTGACTTACACTGACCTCAAATGCAGAAATTGTTTACTAATGTAAAATAGTAAAGTTGGATGTAACACTAATAATCCTATAAATACACTCAATCACTGTTGTGAAAGCCCATAATGCTCAAGTTTTCAGACACCACTAGAAATCAGATCATGTAGAATTTTAAGGGCATGGAGAGGAGAATGAAAAACATGCACATGTAATATTTATCTCTGTAATCCTTCCTTTTACTGGGATCACATAGTACTAGCATTCCTGATTTAGATAAATCATCATTACATCATTATGCGAATTTTTTCCCACATACTTCCTAGAGATCCTGATAATTAAGAAGCAGATGCAACAGTATTTAGCAATATCTCACCACCTCAAAAAAACAATAGTTATATATACTATTGAAAAGTCAGTTCTTGTCTTTAATCATGTATGGAAATTCTTATTCTTTAGGATTACTTATAACAGCATGCAACTCCTCTCTGATAAATAAGAGGCAATGCATTTTCTATTTTATTTAATTATATGTAGCTTACTTTCGATTCACAATCAGCCACTCACGGATGTATGTCTGAACACAGTCTCTGACATGTGAGTCCAGTTCGACCCTGTGGAAACACCAACATATTGTAAATATTTTAGCATCTATGTCATACTTTAAGGACAAAGGAATTTATCTAAACATGCTACTCAGATAAAAGCCTCTCTATCGGTCCTCTCCTGTATATTTATTTTACTGCTAAACAATTGTTTGAGTTTTAAAGAATCCTGTGTAGTGCATGAACTCCCTGAGGCAGGTTTTAGTTACTGTGTTTAGAAATTTACAAACATACATTTAACAGAGATAACCATTTGACACACTAATCTATTTCATAAATATAAGACCAATGTGGCTATAAAATACAGTAAAATGAAATAAATTATACCACATACCCAACTTTATTATTTTAAAAACTTGTGATAACTAGTCTCTAGATACAAAGATATTTCTCCAGAGGCCTCAGCTCCTGGACTCTTGAAAATACAAATTTTTTATGTATACTTTTAATGCATTTTTTTCTTTCTCACAGAAATGAAGAAAATTCTTAAAAGGGACCCTAAGCTTTTAATCAGGGAGCATAACAAAACTTCAAGATACAAGAATATGCTACGATTTAATTTTATGATTTTCAAATAAGTCTCATTTAATGTAATTGTTAGTACTGTGTGATACACTGGATACTGACTGGAACTGAAATACTGTCAGGCAAACTCAATTTCCATGAATTTGCTGTCATGATGCTGCAGAATAACTCCTCTACATCTATTCTAAAAATTTTTAGTGGCCTGTGCCAGAATAATTTGTAACATTCTTCAATCCATGTGAGTAAAAGAGTAGGTAGGATACACATGCAACACAGCAAGGGATGAAATGTATGACAATTTCTAGCACTTTCCACACAGAACTCTTAACAGATCTACAACTGATTACCAAGACCAGGTAATAGCCAGAGTGGGTTCATGTGTGCACAGCAGGACAGAGCCTTGGCTGATGCCAGATGCTGTGTGTCCCCGCCACTCGTGGTTCCTGCATTCGGTTCAGGTGGGAGGTATGTTTGCAAGCAGCAGGCACATTAACCCAGTTTGGCTGGTGGTATCTGTTTCCTGCTCTTGGTGCAGGAAGACATCAAAGACTGCATTGTCTTCAGGCCAACTTTTGCTGCATGCCCCTCCTGTGTTGTCATCTTCCCTACCACATCCTGACATCCTTGACCAGGATTTTCTCTGAAAACACTAATATCAATGATGGCAGTGTGAATGGCTACATGGGATGTTGCCGTGTAAAAAAAATCCACTGAAAGTGTATTTGATGGTACTGACTATTTGAGCTTTGCAACAGACTCCTTACAAACCTCTTAATGTCTCTGTGATGCAAATCAGGCTTACAAACTGTACAGCAGGAGTTCTCCTACTGGAAAACAAATAGGTAACTGCTGTTTTAAACATCACACATATTGGGAAGTAACCTTGGATACAGGGAAATGGTCATATTTTAGATCTAATTTCAAAGTTGTATATTTTAAAAAATATTTTTATCCATCATTTAAATAAATGGGAACTTCAATCAGCAAAATATTCACTGACTTCTACATCCATTCTCTCTCTCTCTCCAACCCACAGGAAGACACAATATCATTATAAAGATTGGAACTTTTTCTCTGTAACTTCAAGTGAAAATCACCTTCTGTGCAAATGTTAGAAAATTCCCTAGGAGTTGTGTGATACAAAGACTTCCCAAGTGCCCTAGCATAGCACCTCATCTCTACTCCCTTTGCTCTCCTGAACTTCCTGAGAGATGCACAGGGCCACGAAGAAACTTGCTGACATAGACTTTGCTTAGAGAGAGGGGTTTTCAGCTAGTCTACAGCTGGCAAAAGTCATACAAAGTGTGTTTCCTGCTTAGCCTCATTGCATTTGGTATGCTGGCAGAAAACACTGAACAAATACTGTTGTGGGGTAGAGCTCTAGTTTATACAACTGGTTGGTGCAAATTAGAGCAGCCTGCAGCAACTTTTGCAGGAACAGAGGGGGATGCAGGTCTACACTGAGAGCCAGGACACTATAAACTAAACCCCTTTGTCCCTTAAGCATTCAGGTTCAGGACAGCAGAGAATACAGACTGTGCTGTTCATTTCCTGAATATGCTGGGAGGAGGCAGTCCCCCATCCCAAACACACTGCATGGTTAGCCATCTTTACAGACACAGCAGTTTGGGGCTAAACTGGTGCTGACTTCACGTTTATCTCACTGCTACTCCTTGCAAAACTCAATAGGCCTTTGGGGGTTTTATATTTAAAAGTAATATTTACAGTGAAACAGTCCTTAAAGAGGACTTTGTATACAATGCATAGACTGTCTTAAATCACATTCAGAAAACTCTTTGATGCATCTCTTTTTCTCATTCTGAAAAGGACTGTTGCCCATAGTGTGCCCATTTATCAAACCAGCTTAAATCTTTGCAGGATCGTTGAGCATTGGTGTCAGCACATGCTAATTATTAAATATAAGCTGTTGAAAACAATGGAATTGTTTTGTCAATGTCAGCCTCAAACTAAAAGTGACTTCTACTTCAGAAATTAACACATTTTCCCTCCTGCCCAAACCTTGTGAAGTATGAACTGTTTTCCCTCATTAAAGCAAGACAGGCTTTAATGCAAAAAGCAAGACAGAGATTTTAGTGATCTGATCAATGCCATGTAACACATAGCTGGGAAAAAAGAAAAGAGAGGGAAAAAAGAAAAAAACAACACAAGAAAAAACTCTCAGTCCTATGCTTACTACACAATCAGAATCAACTTCCACCTCTGGCATTACAGCTGCAAAAATTATTTTTCATACTACTCTCCTGCCCTTCTTTACTCTTCTTGCTGGTCTATGCCTACCTCAATTCTGCCACTACCAGCTAGCTCAGGAAGTTGTGTAAACACTTGCATAACCTTAAGTGTGCAAACAGGGCTAAAAGAATCAATGGCAAAGTTCAAATGTTTGAAGTTCACCAAGTGTGTAGTGGCTGGATGGATGGCAGAATGACGTATCTAGATCAGCATCTTCAAAGCTATTTTTAAACCTGCAGCATTTCAGAAAGAGAGAAACTCTCCTTACCCATCCTCTGGCATAGAAGGTTGCAAAGTCCTGCACTCTTTGGGTGTAAAGACAACGTCCAGGTCATCTTCAGGAAAGTCCCCAAGTTCTTGTGCTAGTTCTGAATCCAAGTTGTTCTGCTGCGTCATTAGGAAGCTTTCAAAATCTACTGGGTCTACTACGTCATAAAAGGAAGGCTAATGAGAAATAAAGAGTCATTTATTTTAGCAACCGAAGATTCTTCTTGATAGTGTAATGTAGGCTTATTTACTGAATTCTTGTATTGTCCCATTATTTATTAAACATCAGAAACAAATTTCTAACCTTCTAACCTAGGAACAAAAGAGGATAAGGACAGGTGACCAAAAAGACAGAGACAGGCAGTGCCAGCTGTCAGGGAGCTGCTGATGGACTCTACAACACAGGAGATGAAACACACTAGGAAGCTATACAGAGCTAAGGACCAACTGTTAGCATCATGACTGCTCCCATCATGAAGATGTCACTCATTTGAGGCGCTGTGCCTGAAAGACACTACTAGAAGTGTTGTGTGGTTTGGACTGCAAAGATGATAGCAATATATATACCCAAAATCACAAGAAATTATTATTTTCCATCTCTGAATTTTACTGGTTTGCATATCATTGGAGTTCTAATTTTATTGGATTTGCCAAGGGTTCGTACAGCACATATGCAAAAGATTATATGAAACTACAAAAGTTATTTCTGCAAACTTTAGATATCCACCACCTCTACAACACATGGCATTGCACCTTGATAGAGAGTAGTTGTATCTCACTACATTTAATTAGCCATTCTTACACAGAAGGTCCGATCAAAACAAAGTTAAATGAGTACAAGCACTACAACATCATACATGCTATTAAGCTGTCTGGTTCTTTGTATTTATTTAGTGTCAAAAACAGAGGCACAAAATCTTGTTTGATTTGGTACCTACAAATGTTCCACATACACATATGTGTGACTATATATGTTAGAAGTATGTTATTCTGTTTATAGACAAAACTGTGAATTATTTTATTTGTGAAATAGCCAATAAATATAGCTTGTATATCTTTAGAAAATAAAACATCTCTCCAGTTAAGTACAGAGACCAGTATCTCTTATGATCTTCTTGATGAGTTTATGTTCTGTGAGTTCCAGGAAGGCTGACGACACCTCAGCACAGTAAGAATGCAGCAAATTAGTTACAGCGTTAGAATAATAGCACCAGAGTAACTCTTAATTACTAGGAAGTATAATTCTAGCAAAAAATACCTATTAAATTATCCTTGTTTGTAAAAAGCAAGGATTGCATTACACTGATTAGCCCAAACACCTTTCACAGGGCTGTCTTCTGAAGCTGCCAGCAAAAAAATAGCGCTAACATAGATCAGATAATCTACCTCTGTGGTGTTGCTGGTGCAGAATGGGTAAAAGAAGGGACATAATGTCCCTGATATCAACACTGCCTTTATATTCAATGTTACTGTGGCTACTGTCTCATCCCACATGCATTCTGGAGCTATCCTCCTTCTGCTGAAAAGTAAAATCTATGGGCCAAAATCAACGAGTCCTCACTCATTTATACTGGGCCCTGCTTGTGCAAGGCTCTCATGGAAGCTGACAGGATTTTTTGTCTGAGCATGAAGTGACATCTGCACTTATCACTGTTACACCTACAACATCAGGAATTTTAGCTCAACAGGACAATGAGAAATTCCACAACTTATGAATCATGTGAATGGGCTCAACAATGGCAAAGCTCTGGGTAACTCCGAACTAAAATGGCTCATACATAATATGCCTCATCAGTCACTGTAGCTAGGGAGTTTAAAATAATTAGTGGTAAATACAAGCTTTGGAGCCTTTTTAGTGTTCTGGAAATATAAGTGGGAAGTTTGTCAGCTAATAAAAATACAGAAACATCTTACAGAAAGTAAAGCGTATTCACAAGAAATATGCTAAAAACAACTACGAGAAGCAAACCAATTTAGACTTCTGAAAAAAACCAGACCTGGTAAATACTCCTGCAAATAATGCAGTAGAGACCTTTGACACAACCAAGTACCACCCCCAGTCACAGGTTCCCCTTTTACATGGAAACTATCTTGGTCTCTGCATAAATACCATCTCTGAGCTCACTTCTCTGCCTGCACGTTTAAGGAGTCTATTGAAATGCCTGAAAACGTCTTTGAGAAAACCTAAAACTATCAGCAAGTCCAGCAAATTATGAGGCAATCAGCCACAGAAATACACTCTGCTGTTTCTTAGGTTAAGCGCTACCTCTGGTTCATACCTACTACCTTCATAGTGCTGAGTACACTGGATCAATAGTTATGAGCAAAGAATGATCTTTATTTGCTATTGATTTTTTGTTAATAGTTAGCATAATGTCCTTAAAGCTCACTTACTGTACTGCCAGTGGGTAAAACATTACATGTTAGTATATATGTAAACAGATCTATACATAAACTTATAGATCTAAACAGATAT